TTCGTAAAAAGATTTTCCGTTTGGGAGATATAGAGGTTTAAAAATGTGAAAAACCTAGAATATTTGGTACTACAACAATGTCTTGTATATATAGTATATACATATATATTATAATATATATAAATATGAATGTATATTATATATTAAATAAAATAACTTGTATGACATTAAAATAAAAATAAAAGTTAAAAACTACGAACACGAACGTGTCGAACAATTCGAAGTATATATGTAGTATGTAATATCTAGTATAGTATATAGTATATAGTATATAGTGTATAATATAGAGTATATATAGTATATAGTTTGTAGTATGTAGTATATAGTATTTTGAATTGTAGTATGTAGTATCTATTATATAATATGTAATTTATACTTTATAATATGTAGTATGTAGTATGAAGTATATTGTATATAGTGAATAATATAAAGTATATACTGTATAGTTTGTAGTATGTAGTATCAAGTATATAATATGTAGTATGTTGTATGAAATATATAATATATACATATACTTTATACTATCTAGTATGTAGTATGAAGTATATAGTATATAGTGTATAGTATAAAGTATATATAATATATACACATACTTTATAATTGTTATTATAATTATTATAACAAATTATTATTATAATTATTATAACAAATATTTTAATTAAAATTATAAGAAATTATAATTATTATTATTATAATTAATTACAATTATTATAATTATTATTAATTATAATTATTATTTTTATTATAATTATAATTATTATTATAGTTATAATTATTTTAATTAATATTTTTATAATTTATAATTGATTACAATTTATTCAACTTATTATTATTATAATTTATACTATAATTAATTAGTTATAATTATTATTTTTATTATAATTATATTTATTATTATAATTATAATTATTATTATTAATATTTTTATAATTTATAACTGATTACAATTTATTCAACTTATTATTATTCTAATTTATAATTGTTATTATAATTATTATAATTATTTCTAATTTATAATTATTATAATTATTATCATAATTATTTATAATTATTATTATAATGTATTAAAAAAGATAATTATTTCGAACGTTCAATTTATCTAACGTCCAATTGATAACATAATTATTTCGAATATATAACATAATAATTTATATATATAAAAAAAAAGCCCATCCGGCCGGCGA